TGAGATCACAGGTTGAGGCGGCAGCCCAGAGCAGCAATGGGCTCCTCTCCAAATGCCATTCACTGTGAACACGCTGGGCCCAAAGCAGGAGCCCCTCTCTTGCATGTGCTGCAGCACATGCAACAGGGCTGGGAAGGTGGCTCAGTGGTAGAGCGCTTGCCTTGCATGCCAGAGGCCCTGGGTTCGATTCCTCAGCACCACATAAGAAAAAAGAAAAAAACCGGAAGTGGTGCTGTGGCTCAAGTGGTAGAGCGCTAGCCTTGAGCTGAAGAGCTGAGGGACAGCGCCCAGGCCCAGAGTTCAGGCCCCACGACCAGACCCAAAAAAAAAAAGAAAAAGAAAAAAGAAAACAACAACAACAAACTCCTTCTCTTCTTTGGGGGCCTCAGGCTTCCAAGGCAGGCACTCTACCTGAGCCAGGCCTACAGTCCTTTTTTGCACTGGTTATTTTGAGACAGGGTCTTGCTTTTTGCCTGGGCCCATGTCTAGACCCTGAACCTACTGTAGCTGACATGACAGGCGCCTCCCACCTTACTTGGTGTCAGTCTTGAAAATGTTTTGTCCAGGCTGGTCTGGAGCTGAGAGCTTCTCAGCCTCATATTACTAGGATGACAGACACGCACAATCATGCCCATCAACTGGTTGAGAAGGGTCTCGTGAAATTTTTTTACCCAGGCTGGCTTTGAGTCACAATTCCCCGGATCGCAGCCTCCTAAGTAGCTAGGATTATAGGCAGGAGCCACTACACTAGGCTCTTACTTTAGTTCTTTTTCTTTGGGGATAAATCTCCAAATTCCAGCTAGACACCCACCTGCCCAGACCAAGAGCTACATTTCCTGTCTCCCTTGCAGCTCGGCATGTGGCTACTTCTGGACAATGACAGGGGAACAGCATGATGCTGTAGCTTCCAGGGTAACAACTTCAACAAACAACCACCTCCTCCTCCTCTTCCTGCTCCTCCTTCTTCTTCCTCTTCTTTTATCATTACCTTAAGTAATTGAATAAAGAAAGGAGCTGAGCCAGGTACCAGTGGCTCACACCTATAATCCTGGCTACTCAGGCGGCTGAGATCTGAGGATCATGGTTCAAAGCCAGCCTGGGCAGGAAAGTCCGTGAGGGTCCAATTAACCAGAAAACCGGAAGTGGGGCTGTGGCTCAAGTGGTAGAGTGCTAGCCTTGAGTTGAAGAGTTCAGGGACAGCGCCTAGGCCCAGAGTTCAAGCCCCACAAATTAAAAAAAAAAAAAAAAAAAAAAGGAGTTGTCATTTAACAAAAGAGTTTATGAATACAACACAGACCTTCCTCCCTTTTGCTTGCTCTCCTCCCCAGCACCTAGATCTCGGATGTGATCGCTAGATGTTCAGCCACCACTGTGGACCAGAAGGCCATCCTAGCAGAGAACGACGACTCAGAAGTGGCCAGGGTCCCTGCTGTTGTACCCCAGAACTAGGCGGCCTTCCTCTGGGTCTTTACATCAGAGAGAGGGTCATCCTAGCTCTGTGAAGCCAACTTGTAGCCGCTGTCCCAGCGGCCAGTATGAGGCAGAGCATGGGCCCTGCTTCCCTCTCTGTCCAGGTACTGGAGACGAGCTCTGGGAAGGTGGGACTGCAGCACACTGACCACACTCAGGCTGCTAGGCACTCAACAGATGCTGATGCAGAGGGGACAGTCCTCCACAGGAATGCTCTGCGAGGAGACAATGGCACCCGAGCGCAGATGCCTGTTATTTCCGGGAGACCCGCTCCATGTGCACGACAGTCAGGAGTTTGGGTCAGCTGTGTCACGTAGAAGCGGAGCCTCCTCACAGCAGCCTCCCCCGGCTTTGCTTCCCCACAGCCTAGGTTCTCTGACAATGGGGAAGGCCACCTCAGCTGGGGGTCTGGCAGCTGGGGAAGGCTCCCCAAGCTCCCCATCCCTTTCTCTCAAACAAAAGCTGTGTCACTTGCATCGCTATAATTATCCAAGGGAACTCTGAGGGTAATTACGGCTATTCACAGACAGACGCCTGAAAGGGCCATGTGCCTCCAAAGCAACAGGGAGCAGGTGGGCCATGGAAACCCAGGACCCACCTCCCTGGAGGGTCTTTGCACCTGCACAGTGAAGGGAGGGGGAGCAGGAAAGGGCTCAGGAAGTCCCAGCCTCAGGCTGCCCTTCTGACAGAATACCAGCCAGCCTGGCATGCACAGTAAGGGAAACCCAGAGTGCAGCCTTCACAGCCCCCACCCAACAGTTCCTGCTGGCGCAGAGCCGAGCCTGCCTTAGAGTTCAGACAAGGGGCTCGGGTTGGCACGAGGGGCCCAGGCCCACTCTGCGATCCCCTATCTCTTCCAGTGCAGAGCTCCTGGCAGATGGCAACCGGGACCCACTCGAATGGCCTCTGTCTCACACTGTGGATCCCACACAAGTGGCCACACAGATTCTCCCGCTGGATTTCCTCTACTGTCCCATCTGCAGCCCATGAGGACACACCTTCCATCCTTACCCACCAGGGACGGTCCTACTCCAGGAACACTGGGGGAGCGGGGGAAGGGAGGGGTAAGGCGCCCAGCAGGCAGTGCCCTCATGGCTTACTGCTGCTGCAGCTGCGGTCACACTGCGCTGGAGCGCAGTCAGCTAATCTCTGTCTCACCCACACCCCAGAACAGACAGGGCCCACAGCTCTACTTTTGAGTCTATGGAAACCAGAACCCCACCCCTGAACATCAAGAAGGCCCAGGCCTGGCTCTAATAACCAGCATGACAGGGAGGCTTCAGGGAGGGGACTCAAGTCAGATGAACCTGCTGCTAGCCCACCAGCCGTGCTGTGCAGAGGGGCCCCTGGCTTGGTGTCTACTGTACAAGGCAGGCCCATGAACCCATCAGGCACATGGCAGGGCACGCATGGATGCTTCTCATATACTCCTTGTCAGAACCATCTGCCTGTATTGGTAATTGTGCGTGCCCTGTAATGGTTATAAATATTCAAATGGACGTTAGCAGAATAAAGGTTCCCCATTCCTTCAAGCAGTCAGGGGACAGACCACCATTTGGTGGGGCCTGTTGGGTGGCCCAGGCCCCCCGGTGAAGGAAGCCAGACGTTCATGGGACTTGGTAAAGCTCCAGAGAGCAACCCCTGCACCTGAGGGAGGCAGGCCTGCCTGGGGCTTGGATGTCCTCCATGCAGGCACGGGGGCCCAGGTGCTTCCCTCTGTGATGTGTCCCTGAGTCTCCTCCACTTCACTGGGGCCCGTCTGTGGTGATCTCTGCTTACACACTCCAACGTGGCTTCTCGTTGCCCTTAGAGTCAGGCAGGTGGGTGAGAGTTCCTGGCTACCAGCCTCCTAACCTACCACCTGGGATGCCATCTCCTATGCATACCACCGAACTGCCTCATTGCCAGGCTGCTGCCCTTGACCTCATTGCACATGCAAGCCCCGGCCTACCCTCTACTTCCAAGCCTTGTTTCTCCCTTGGGAAAGCTGGCATAGGCACTAAGACTTGATCCCCATGCCCAGGACCTGCTATAGCAGCAGGAGTGGCACCACACCATGGTTCCCGGGTAACCCACTGGGCCGTGGGGCATTGTGCCAAGTCTCTACAGACATTCTGCCAGGTATCCTAACCTAGGATCTATCCTAACCCAGGAGAGGCCATTTGTTTCCCACATCTTCTACCACATAGGCAGCCCAGACCAAGCAACCCAGAACCACGTGGCCAGCTGCAGCCTAGTCTTTCTTCCCTCAAAGCCTATGCTTTCAGTTGTAAAAACAAAACAAAAACAGTGCCAGGCACTGGTGGTTCACGCCTTAATCCTAGCTACTAAGAATGCTGAGACCTGAGGATTGCAGTTTGAAGCCAGCCCAGGCAGGAAAATCCATGAAACTTCTATCTCCAATTAATCATCAAAAAGCTACAAGTGGCTCAAGTAGGAGAGTGCTTTAGTGAAAAAACTAAGGTACAGCACCTAAGCTCTGAGCACAAGCTCCAATACTAGTGTACACACACACACACACACACACACACACACACACACGCAGACACACACACACCACCCTTCACTTAATAAAGATAGCCTGTCTTGGGCATTTTGTTATAGAAGCAAAAAGTCGATGAAGACCATCTCAGTGTCTCATATGTACCCACCAAGAAAGAATATGGAAAGAGAGAACATAAGACGCTTAACCCAAACGAATGCAGGCCTATGATGCCTATCCAATAATGATGTTCCCATGTTTCCATTTCCATGGCTGCCTCTGGCCCTGTCAGCCAAACTGTGCCCTTTGGTCCCACAAGCATAGGAAATGACCACCATACAATCAGTACAGAGGGGCCTCTCCTGATCCTAGGATGAATTCTCACACAGCCACAACCTCAGGGCTCAGGACTTTTGCTTAAAATTTAACGAGAAAGGGAGGAGGTCACTATGGGCACAGATCATCCCAAAAGTCCCTTTTGTAGAAACACATACCTTGAAACGGTATCTGGACTTCTCTGGGGCTGCCCTGCTCCTTGGTGAGACCAAGTTTGGGAGAAAAGTCCTGAGGACACACGGCCATAGCCAGCAGAAGCTCTGCAGCTGGGAGGAGGCCCCACCTGGACAGCATCATATATCCCACAAGGCCGGCTGCCGCGCAGCCTAGTTCCGTATGTTTGATTAAAGGCCCTAATTTCTGTTTGTCTCCTTCACCCAGTTACATAAGTCCATGGCCTGCCTGCCTGCCTGCTGCTGCAGGCAGCTCTGCACACACTCTGTTCCCTAACCGCTGTTACTGGGAAACTTCTCCACCCTCTGGGGATTTAGCACAGCCAAACAAAACCTTCTTGCAGGGATCAGAGCCACTCTCCCAAGGCTTTTATTTCCTAACTTGCTGGTCACAGACAAAGAAAGGACCTCCCCAGAATGGTTGCCCCAAATGAACTCAATTACTTCCTGTGCCAAAGCACTTAGAAGGACACACCCCTACGCTCGCCTTGTACAGTGCCCACCTGTGACCAGGTGCCAAGTCACGTGTATCTGTGTACCTTTCATGTAGGCTTCAATCTTCCGGATGAGCTCATAGGACTTGGAGCGGTCAAGCAGGGTCCTGATGGCAGGGAGGGGGTCCAGGACGATGGTCTCAGGGTGGGCATCTATATACTCCTGCAAGAAAAGCCCACTCCTGATTAGAGAGAGGAAACTGGTGGACAAAACAAGGGAGATGACAAGATTTCGTTCCTCCAGTCCTTCATGCATCCATCCCTCTCTTACCCCTCCCCACATCACACAACTCTGGCTAGACCAATTAGGGTGCTGGGTCAGAAAAGCTTGTGTGACCCTGAGCCCATCCAATCAGAGGCAGGTTCAGGACTCCTGCCTGTGAATGCTTGGGACCTGGACATTCTCAGCCTCTCCGAGGCGGAGGAGGAAAGTGTGGAGACTAAACCAACAGTGGTGAGCGGTGACCAGGGTTTTTTTTTTTTTTGGTGCGTTTTTTATTGTAAAAATGTTGTACAGAGAGGTTACAGTTACATGAGCAAGGTCATGAGAACATTTCCTATTGAGCATTGTTGCCTCCTGCCCATGGGGATTTAAGGAGAGGCTTGCCTAAGGTCTGAGCTCAGGAAACAGTACTCAGAATGGAGGAACACCACCAGGGTTCTGGTCAGGTCCTCTGACCCTGGCTAAAGCCTTGCCAGAAACATGTCTATTACAGCTGATGACTCTGATCCATGAAAGTGCTGGCCCAGCCAGGCACTGGTGGCTCACACCCGGAAGCCTAGCTACTCAGGAGGCTGAGATCTGAGGATCCAGGTTTGAAGCCAGCCAGGCAAGAAAGTCCATGAGACGCTTATTTCCAACTGACCACCAGAAAACTGGAAGTGGTGCTGTGGCAATGCTCTAGCCTTGAGCAAATAGAGCAAGGACAGTGCCCAGGCCCAGATTTCAAGCCCTATGAATGAGAAGGGAAAAAAAGGTAGTAAAAGAAAAAGAAAAAAAAAGAATAGAACCTCTCATGTGAGTACACATAATAGCACACACTTATAAACACAATTTAGATGACTAAAGTATAGGATATACAGGAATGAAACTGCACCGACCAAACCTTTCTAACGATTAGCAGACAGTTTAACAAAATGAGGATCAGGAGGCTGAAATGAGATTGTGGAAGAAGAGTGAGATTGCAGAAGAGTGGAGGAGGAAAGAAAAAGGGAACTGGGGACACATATAGCCAGAACACTCGGTGTACCCATGTGACAGAGGAAGTGGGAAATGTGAAATGAGTCTGGGGGGAAGGAACAGAAGGATGGGGGAGAGTAAGGAAGGGTTGGCTCTGAACACAAAGCTCTGCACACTTACGTGGACATGTTTGTACAGTTGTTTGAAGTTCTGGGGAAAAAATAATTTTAAAAGGACCTATTTGTTTCCTAGAAATCATTTTAAAAGCAGCTGAGGCAAAGCCAGAGATTCAATTCACTTTTTGTCTCAAATCTGTCTCCCCTTGAATTCCACACCAGAGCTCTGGTTGTGGCTCCTTCTAGTCCTTCCTCATTGGATGTTTAACGGCTCCCTCTCTCTAGGTGGCAGCAGGGTACCACCTGGAAGCCTCCACAATGCCCTGCCCCTGCTCACATCCTCAGCATCCCTACCCGCATGCCCAGTGGTCCGGTCCCCTCCTCTGTACAAGTCGTGCTGCAGGCCTGACTGTGGAACACTAGCTCTCCTACTTCCTCCTCTGAACAGACCTGGCCATCCAGAGGTCAACCTGCCCCAATCAGCAAGCTGCTAGTACAGACTGGGCCAGGCAACCAATGGAGGAACATCTCTGCCTGCCTGACACAGGGTCACAGCCCAGAGGCTTCAGAAGAAGGCCTTAATCCAGAGTGCCCTCAGGTCACACAGACATGGGCAGCCTTACCCACATGACTGCCTGTGCCCCTGGCCCTTGTGTGGGGGTCCCCCATGCAGGTAGCCCTCCTGGCACCATTCCTTTATCAGAGTGGATCCATGGAAAACCTAGTCTCTGCTTCCACAAGAGCTCATCATTCACAAGCCCCTCCTCCTGCAGCTCCCACAGGCAGATGATCCTCGGCCCCACCCTCCTAGTGCTAAATGGCCGTCCACTGAGAGCTCCAACCTCGACCTGGTATAGTGGGGAGATATCACCTCCTGGGCCACTAGCCTTCTCAGGGTCTCTGAGGGGTTATTTCATATAACCTCAAAGGTCCTTGTGAAGACAGCCTTAAGTAAGTTGGATCTGCAGATGCTGTGAAGCAGTTCTGTGGAGGCCTTCAGAGTACATGGGGCTGTGTGTGTTGGGTAGGTGGGGGACAGACTGGGACAGTCACTTTCTGGAGTCACTGCAGGTGACACAAGGCTACCCGCACCCCTGCCCCCTCCCCTTCACAAAGGAGGCAATGTCAGAGATGCTCACTGGGCTGGGATGGATGTCCAGGAAAGGGGAGAAGCTGCTCAAAGCATGGACACATACCTTTCTACACTCCAAGGCGTGGGTGCCAGCTGCTGAGAAATAATGCTGGCACTGGTCCTGTGTTCATGCACCACAGCAGTGTCATTTAGAGAGAGGACTTCCAAACTCATGAGGAAAAGAAGCCACATGAAACCAAAGGAGGCAATCTGACAAGCTGGAGCCAACAAGGTTTAGACCAGGGATGAAAGTGTTCCCAACAGAAGGAACAGGCTGAAGTCCTGTACCTTGTCAAAGTCTTTATGAATCCATCTAAGTGACTTGTAACTCAGCCCTGTCAGGGATACATGAAGAGAATAATTCTCCACACCTCTTACAACTCAGGGGCTCTGACTGCAAAGAGACCAACAGAACAAAAGAGACGTTTGTGCTCCTACCGAGCCAGGCCTGAGCAGTGGGATAGGATCCCTGGGCTGCTGCCCCTGGAGCACCCCACGTGTGACTGCACATCCTGTCACCTGTGGGCCAACAAGACCTGTGCCCAGACAGCGACGGCGGAGGCAGACAGGACAAAGGTAGACTCAGCCCCCTCTGGTCAGCCTAGGTATGCTGAGGTTGCGTCCTCACTGACTACTTCCTGTCTGCCTTTTCCAAACAGCTCCTCGAGAGAGCCAGGCTTCCCTTCAGCAGATGCCTTGGTCTTAACCAACTCTCATTTGTATTCTGGAGAGCTCTCTGTCTGAATACTCAGCCTGGGGCCTCCAGGAGCACAGGAGACCAGCCCCTAGGAAGAGTGCATACGTGTGTGTGTGTACAACTGGGGGCACATATGGGGGTGTAACTGAGTGTGTATCTGTGAGTGTGCACAGAGGTATAGATGTAAAGTGTATTATGTGTGGGAATGTGCATGTGTGTCTGTATATATGTGTGTGTGTGTATGCATGAGTATGTGTATGAGTCTGTGACTTGTGCATGTTATGTGCATGTGAATGTATGAATGTGTGCACATGTGCATACACGAGTATGAGCATGGTATCTCTTGTGCATATGTGCACTAGTGAGTCCAAGTGTGTGAATGAGGTGTCACTGAACATGCCACACATGTATGTACATGTGAATGTAATTGTATGAGTACGTTCCATGCATGCATTATGAATGATCATGTGGGTGCATGTGTATGTATGAACAAGTCCCTGTGTCCATATGTCCATGCACACATGAATGTGAATGCATGTGTTGTGCAGTAGGCACATGCGAACATGTGTGATTATACATGTCAGCGTGCATATATGTAAACACATTTGAGTGCTTGTGTGTTGTGTGTGGATGTCTGTGTATGCATGTGGGTGTGTATGTGCAAGAATGCATATGAATCAGTATATATGTCAGTATGTGCATGCATGCCCATACATGTGTGCATGTGTATGAGTGTGCATCTTTGTTAGTATATGTCACTGTGTACAAACATGTATACATGTGATAGCATGTACATAAATGTGTGTGGTGTGTGTTGGGGTGAGTGTACATGTATCTGTGCAGGCATGTATGTACATGTGAGCGCTTGTTAGTATTATGTGTGAATGAGTGCATTGTCAGTATGTGCAGCCACATGAATGTATGTGTGTCTATACATGTGAGTATGGGCATGTGTTGGTGTGTACATGCATGTGAGAGTGTGTGGGAGGGGGGCTTCTAGGCAGCAAATGTGCTACCTCACTTCACTAAGAGGGCTGTGGGGGGGGAGGTCCTGAGAACACTGGCTCATGAACATAGGACTCGTGAACATAGGCCAGGAGGAGAAGGGTATTCTAGGAAGAGGAGGCAGCCAAAACAGATCTGGGGTGAGGGAGCCCAGCACCCCAAGGATGCCAGGAGCTTGAGGTGGCCATAAGCCTCCAAGAAAAAGGGTAAGGCCAAAAAGGTAGGAGCTAGTCTGCTGGAGATGAACTAGCTAAGGAATCTGGACTTGATCCTAGAGCAACAGCGTGTTTGGCCAGAGGATGATAAGGATGGATTTGAGTTATAGAGTGATCAGTCCAGCAGTTTGCAAGACCACGGATGGAGCTAGGAAGAGAACATGCAAGACACAATGTTGGCCTTAGGTGCACAAGCTGGATCTCACTATTCAGGAAGGTTCGACAGGCTGCCTGGACCCTTTGCACAACACCAACATGATTTGTTCCAGATCTATGTGCTTCTTGGCCTGTTATTTAAAGCCAGGAGCTCATGCTGAGCTGCTGGGACCCTGCTGTACAGGGAGTACAGAAGAGAAAGGCCCAGGGGTGAACATATAAACCCTGGTCAGAGGCAAGGCAGGCCACCGGCGGCTGGCCTTCCCGGGGCCTTGAGCATTTGGAAGCAAAAATCCAACAAGCAGGAAGAGATTGGTCTACTCTGGAACTTCTAACACACAGTAGCTTCAGGCAAAAGTAATACTGGTTACCAGCGGGGGGAAATGGACCAGTGTGGTCAAAAACATGGTCCTAAGCACCATCTATGAGAGGCACCTAGTTTGATTCTACATGCATCCAGTTTTAAGCCTGTCCATAACAGCACAAAGTATCTGTGACATAGGAACACCACCTGCACCCAGTACACAGAAGCCCCTGAAAATGCTTGGGCCACTGGAACCAATGGCCACTCTAGAAGGAATAGGCTGCCTGGGCAGCGGAAGCTGGTGTTGCCTAACTTGGGGCTGGTAGAAAGCCACATCTATGACATGCTGGGATCCTGG